GAGGGAGGGAGGAAGAGAGAGAGAGGGAGGGAGGGAGGGAGGGAGGGAGGGAGAGAAAGAGAAGAAGAGGAGGAGGGGAGGAGAGGAGGAGGAAGAAGGGGGGGAGGATCTACAAAGGCCATAAGAAGATGTCAGGTCTCCTGACCTAGAGTTAAGTACAGGAGGTTATATACAACCCAGTGTGAGTAATAAGAATCAAACTTCAGGCCTCTGCAAGAGCAGTAAATGCTCTGATTAGCTGAACCAGTTCTCCAACCCTGACACAGAAACGTTTAAAGTACATAGTAGTATGGGAACCACTGATCTCTACTAGGACACAGAAGCCGTATTATAGAATAGAAGATAGAGCTGAAGAAATGCTGGAGACCAGCATGTAGGGGAACTTTGCCTCAGTAATGCTCACACCCTCTGAACCAAGTGACTAGAACCCTTGGAAGCTGTGGGATTTACATGGAGGAACACAGAGACGCTTTTGGTTAGAATGAGTGAGACGGTGAAGTCTGCTTAGCATCTTTTCACACATGGGAGTGAGAACCAAAAGGACCTTGACCTTATTAATTATACATGGCAGGAGAACGGAAAGTAACTATTGAAGATGCTTGCGGATTTTCTGGCCAAGAGCATAGTGACCCCATTTACCTTGAAAGAAAATCTGAAAGGATAATTGGGCTTGGGTAGAAGGCAGAAAAATTAAGAGTTTATTTTTAGATATGGTGAAACTTAAGGCACCTGATGGGCATGCAGGTGGCGGTGGAAATGTCCTGGAGAAATTGGATCTATGATTGTGGGGCTCAGGAGAGAGGGGTGAGCAGATGACAAAGATTTGGAAGTCATCAGTAATGGAGGCCTTGGAAGCTCTCCTGCAAATCAGATGATCACCAGCTCATTCGTGTCTCAGAAATCCATACTTTTATAGATAAGTTTTGTTTGAATCAAAACTGAAAGCTATGCATTCCTTTAAGCCCATGGTTGTGTGCTGCTTAGTTGTTCTCTACTCTGAACTTTTGGGCCACCTATTCCAAGTGATGACATCGTAAGATGTAGCCCGAAAAACAGGCTCTCTTAAAAACTCAGCTTCCCCAGCACTTTCCAAGACTGGGGGTGTGGTCTGATGATCTAGGGAGGGTCCAATTGGCACGCCAGCTGCTACTGGACCCACATGTATCCTTGACATATACATTCATTCCAAGAGTATAACACTTGCTCACAATTTACCCAAGAATCTTCTCTGTACTGACTTACGCTTCTGAGAAGCTCTGTGCTAAAAGACTGGTCCCACAGTCCAGTGCCTGTAGCCTGTGTCTAACTAACCCTCCATGTTGGAAGAAACAGGTGCTATTACTGAACAGCAGGGGAGCTGCACTGAGAAACCTTCCAGAGGCACTGACTACTCATGTGCTACCTGCAAGACGAGAATATTTTTAGGCTTTCAGAAAGATTTCATTTCACAGCTTTTTTTCTGAAAGGTTATAATTAACTTCAGTGAACAAAAGATTTAAAAAAAAAAAAGTGGGAGGAAAGGAACCAAGGAAAGCAGCAAACCAGCACAGTTCTGTCCAACCCATTGAGTAGGTGGATTCTAGCCATGCACGTGCTGGGGTTGGGGTGGGGGTGGGTGGAGCACTGGGAACCCGAGTCCAAAAGGGTCCAAGTGAACCCAGAGCTAAAAGCATGTTCTTTTCCATTGGTGTTATTTAAAAGATAGGAACATCCCCTTCTTCCCTCACCTCTCATGACAAGTGTCCATCTTCCAAGGCAGGATCCCTGGCCTCTGAAAAACTCTACCATGGCCAAGAAGAATGTCCAGAGCAGGAGACACAGAGGCTTCTTACTCTTGCTAGCTCTTTCTTTTCCTCATAGTCCTTCTCTCTTTCACACCCCTAGCCCAACACAGGGGTATGCCTGTGAGTCTCCTTGGCAATATCTCCCTTGCTCTGTTCCATATGTTTAGTTTTATTTATAAGGTAGGGTATTTTATTCCAAGAAAAAGGAATCAGAGTCACAGACAAGGTGATGTAGGTAAAATGAGTCCTCAGAATAATGTTTTCAGGGCCTTTCAGGCAAGAGTTCGGCAGCGCCATTGATGGCTTGCACAAATGGATGGGGAGTCAGCAGGCCAAATTAATTCTGGCTTGGCAACTACCACACTGAGACACAGTCTGATTAGCATGCCACCAGTAATAAGGAAGATCTATCCCCACCCACAATTTATCTTTTTCTTGCTGGCTAGAACATGGGAGTCCACGTTTGGAAGGGTGGCAGGATTCGGTATCTCCAAGGAAAAGTGTCCCCTTTCCACCTGGACTCACCCATATTGACTACGCCATCCTTAACAAGGTTCAATTATGCTGGATGGTCTTATGTGAACTTGATATAAGCTAAAGTCATCGGAAAAGAGGATACTTCAATTGAGAAAATGCCCCCATAAGATTGGGTTAAAGGCAGACCGGTAGAGCGTTTTCTTAATTGGTGATTAATGATGAAGGGCCCAGTCCACCACAAGTGGTGCCATCCCTGGACAGGTGATCCTGGGTTCTGTAAGAAAGCAGGCTAAACAAAGCATGAAGATAAAATTAGGAAGCAGCACTCTTCCATGTCCACTGCATCTACTCCTGCCTCCAGGTTCCTGCCCTGTTTGAGATTCGACCCTCATTTCTTTAGTTAATGAACTGTTCTACGGACCTGTGAGTGATATAAACCCTTCACTCCCCAGCTTGATTTTGGTCATGGTGTTTCATCACAGCAATAACAACCCTAACTCGGACAACTGTCATGTATAGGCTTCAGGGGGAGCTTGGTCAGTGTCCAAGAATACAAAGGCGGTGTCTGATCCAGAGGCACCATCCTGGGATCTTAGCAGACTCTTGGTCTCAGTCAAGTCAAGCCTTTCTTAGGATGCAGTGATACGCTGCATTTTTATTTCGGTGCACAGGTTGCCTGAGGTTTGGGATCCATCCCTAACATCCCTAGCTCTCCTTCTCCTCACTGTAAAAGGAAACTCCTAGAATAAGATGCCCAGAACCACTCTCACCTCTACCCCTAAGTTGACAAGTATGAAGTTCTTTGTTCTCTAGAGCTGAGGTCACTTCAAGATCATGATTAGCCAGTTACTTCCCTCTTCAGGCAACTCTGCAGACTTCAAAGCATGAGTGTTATTTACGGGATTTACTGGATTCCTGGGAAGTTTATAGTTTGGCGTTCTGATTCCTCCATTCCTTTCTTTTTGGGTTAAAGCAAAATGAGATAATCAGAATTCAGCAACTGAATTAAAGAATGAACAAATAAATAATGATACTTACTAGCAGGAAGCCAGAGAAAGGATGTAAAATCTAAAGTCATTCTTCGCTCGAACATATGGCGTGAGATTGTTTTTTCTTTCTGAACAATGGTAAGCAGTATGGGTCTGTGATACTCCCCTTCAGCTAAATCTAATCCCCACCTGTTCCAAGTCCCTGCTGTCTTCCCTGTATCTGTCTGATCACTGCAGATCCCAAACTGGAAACTTTGTTATCACTTCCTTCCTGACTTATAAGTTCCTGGAGGACGAGTCTGTCGAGTATTGTCTCCTACAGGGTCGAGCACAGAAATAGCAATAACACTACTGTCATAGTTTCAAAGTCTTCTTGTGTACACAGAGCTTCAAGAACTGACTGTTGGGTGCTTCCACGCTCACTCCAGCTTGGTAGACATGAAAATCCTCTCTTCGCAGGAAAAGAACTGAAGTTCACAGAGATTATGTAACTTGATCCCAGTCAGGCAGATAGTGAATTAGAGATGCATATAAATCAGTGATGTTCTTATGACAGTTCAGAAAGTTTTCTGATTGTTTTTTTTTTAATGGATGAGTGAATGGGTGCATGGGTGGGTAGATGGATGGATGGGTGAATGATCTAAGGAAGTAGTGTAAGAAAGAAGATGATAGCAGTATTCTGCACAAGATGAGAAAAATAGAAGGCGCTCACATTCTAGGGGTCTCACCATAGTTGCTAAGTACTCTGTTCCTGGGAAGGGAAAGGAAACTTCTGTTCTTGTGAATAACTCAGCTAGTGGCTAACCCCACTTCCCTCCTACAGATTTTGACAGTATCAGGACCACCTGAAGGGGGGACTCGTGTGACCATCCATGGCGTGAACCTGGGCTTGGACTTCTCCGAGATCGCTCACCATGTCCAGGTGGCTGGAGTGCCCTGCACACCTATCCCAGGGGAATACATCATCGCTGAGCAGTGAGTCCACCCTGCTGGCCTTTGTCTGTGTGAGCTTCAGAGTGGAGAGTCTCTGTACTTCCTTCTCTGGGGCTTTCCTAAGTATCTTTCACATCACCTTCTCCTGTGGAAAAGGTCCCAAGAGGTCTTTTCAGGGTCTTTCTGCCCCTAGGAGGCCTTGTTCAGTTGCTTCCCTATTCTACTCTCCTCAGGCATCAGGGCTCCAGGTGATCTTTCCGCCCCTCATTTAGTCTTTGTCTGCCTGCTGGCATGAATGTTGAAAGCCCCTCTGGGAACTCTTGGCCCCTCCTACTCCCCCCCCCCATTGAAATGCACCCTACCGGGTGGGTAGGCTGTGGACAACAATTTGTTTAGTGCCTGGCGCTCTGACAGTAGCTTAATCTGAACAGGGCCTCCACTGGAGCGGATTCATTTATTTCACTAAGGGAAATGTCAGCTGGAAATTAGAAAATAGGCATGCAGTGGCGGGCAGGCGGGTGAGCTCAGGAGTGACATATGTTCCAATGTGGGGTGTTCCCTTGGCAATGGGAACTACAGTCAGTGAGCAAGAAGTGGTCAGAAGTGGGGGGGGGGTGAAAGAGAAGGAGAAACAAGGGAAGGGGGCCACGAGAGCATCCTTCATGCTCTGTCATGTGACATCAGGTCAAGGGCTCCTCCATCTATTGATGATGCAACTCTGTGTGTCAGGAGCTGATAAGATCATGACTTTAACTCAAGATTTTCTCTCTTACTCTGTTACACCGCAGCCTCAGGCTCCTCTGAGAGCCAGTCCTCAATGGCAATCTTAAAAATAACATCACTTTATTTTCCATCAGTAATTTTTAGTGTATAGAACACTATCTTACTATCTATTTTTTTAATTATTCTGACTCTGACAAATAAATTATTACAAAAGCTGGCAAGAGTAAAAGTTGGGGAGATTATTTTCGCCAGTTACTTGGGAAGTAAATACCAGAGCAGACTCAGAACCAAAATCTCCGAACTTCTTGTCAGGCCTATTTCCCTGATACAGCAACCACTCGCCACAACTTCTGGGCAAGAAAGACCTGGAAACTCTATGACTCATCCATCAACCATGACTCTGAACCTCAGAGGTCCTTTATTCTAGCATAGCTCAGAGAAGGGTCAGTGGCAGAAAGAGTAAATTCCCAGACTCTTGGAAAAAGAGGCCACTGGTCACAGGCGAGGAGGAGATAAAGCTAGCCTGATCCTTCTGAGTCTCCAGGTCCTGTTGTTCATTGACAACCTTATCCCTATAAGGAATGAGATTTGAAGGAGTGGTGGCTAGACCTACAGAAGGACAGTCAGGAATGCATAAGTATTTCTAGGGAACCACATTAGGAGATAAACACAGGGAACTGGGACCACCTGCAGGAAACCTCATGGAGACATGGACTAGAGTCCCATGCACTGCAAAGCTTCATCAAACACTTGGACACACAGACCCCAAATCCATCTGGACCTCAAGAACTTCCCATGGTCCAACTTGGGGGCTTGGAGGACTCAGACTTTAAATTGAGGAGTATGAAGTGCCAGGCAGCTGGACTCAAAACTTGCCCAAGGTTTGGATTGAACAGTTCTGACCCTGGCTCCTCTGCTAACCAGCCCTGATACTTCAGCAAGCCATTTAGTCTATGGCCTTCATCTAGTGGACTGTAAACAGGACTTTAGTCTGTTTACAAAGTCAAGTATACTTCTTTACCCAGGAATATGGGGAAGAAAGTACCCAGATGAACTGGAAGTGTAATCATGAAAGGACCCTGGAGAGGCAGTCATTCCAGGCCTGTTGAGGTCGATGGTGACCCTTTAAAGCTGTCTCTTGCAGCTCCTTGCTTCAAGCTCAGGACAGGCAAGAAGCAGTGAAGGACACCCTATGCCTCGCTGGTTGCAACCTGGTTTCCAGCTGTGCCAGGCTCATTACCTCTCCTAAGGTTTCAGAGTTTGTTAACATCATTAGGCCTCCATCCTGGGCAGTGAGCAGCAGGTGTAATCATTACAGATGTCTGCAAGACATGAATTTGGCTAACTGGGCTCAGTACAGAATCCTGGCCACAAGCAGGATTAGCGAATGCAGTAATGATTCACCATATGCTTGTGTCTGCCATCTATCATTCCACAATTAGGTTAATATTAGTTTAAAGGTTCTGATTAGTCCTGAAATCAGCACCCCACATGTCTATGGAGGGCACGATGATTCAGCCATAGGACATTTTCTGGGCAGTGGATTGCAGGTCCAGACTTCAACTCAGCATCTCCAGAGGCAAGGGATTGCTTTTATCTGACTTCCCTCTTTATCTGTGAACTCAAACACAGCTGGATGGGTGCTGAACCTCTGTATTTCCCACCAAGGAAGTGAGCCATCACTTATGCATGTCTGTTGGAGATAGTGTGGTATGGAGATAATGAGAAAACTGAGCTGATGCCAGGAGCCTGGGGGCAAGCTATAGTTCAGCTACTGATGAACTGAATAGCATTGGCCAAGTCACTTTGCTTCCTGATTCTCAAATGGCCCATCTGTAAATTAGGAACAGCTGATGTGTACAATCCCCTAAGTGGTCCTCAGGAAGCTAGAACAATATGACCCATAGAGTCTGCAATACACACACACACACACACACACACACACACACACACACACATCAACTAGAAAGCTAATGTGATTCCAGATCCCCTCTGTCAATTAAGAGTCAAATAAATCATCATATGGAAACTGGACAGTTGTTAGGCTCAATTCATTTTATAAGGGGAAAATTTCACTATCTCTAGTCATTGCCTCTTAGTGATATGCAGGGAGTCTCAGAAAAACCAGGAACCCAGAGGACATGGAAACTGGGAAGCCTCTGAGAAATTAAACCAGAGAATACAAATGAGACTCGGGAGGAAGTGAAGTATACTCTTATGCCTGTGGTGGTCCACAGCCAAGAGGAGACATCAAGTGACTAAGTCTCAGAGCTGAGGAAATGAGTGGTGTTGTTTCCTGTATTTGCCAAAATCTGTCACTAGCATGATGCCTGTGCTGTTCCTCCCTTAAAGCAGTCAGAGCTTTTTATTAAATCCAGCATCTGAGACAAGTGTGATGACACATGCCTATACATCAACCTACTCGGGAGGCTGAAGCAGGAACGCTGCTTAAACCCAGAGATTGGAGACCATCCTAGAAAATGTAGTGAGACTTTGACCAAAATACATGTGTACATACATACACACATACATACACACACACACATTCATACATACATTCATATATACATACATATATACACACATATGTACACACAATACATACATACACACATACATACACACACATTCATACATACACACATATATATACACAATACATACATACACACACATACATACATGCATATATATATATATATATATGAATATATATATACACTCATGTATAAGATAATGATCCACTGTCCACAAAATGGAGTGGTGAAAGTCACAAACTCGGAACTGAGGCTCACCTATTTTTCACTCAGGGCCCTTCACTTGTTGGAATGTGGCCCTAAATAAGTCATGTAGCATCCCTGAATCTTGATTGTCTGTAAGTCAGAAATAATAAGACCCTTCCTGGAGCAGAGGATTAATGTGATGTTGGGTCCCGTCTTGTGGCCCACCTCTGCCATCGGCAGCTATAGCTCTTGTTACTAAGTCACAGGTTCTACTGTGGCACAACCCTTATTTTTCTACATAGCCCTTTCTACCTCTACAGCGTGTTTCTTCTGTAACTCATCTCCCTTAGCAAGGACAGGTGTTCTATGAAAATTCAAGTCCTCTCCAAATGGCCTTAAAGGGCCCATGAGTGAAAGAGTTTCCACAATGCTGCTTGGTTTTCTGAAAACTCCAGTCTAACATTTGAGACATGCTCATGCAAACCTTTGTTCGTAGCCTACTCCTGACCCCAGCCCTCTCCCTACTTACAGCCAGGGGAGACAGAGCTCAGCTGCTAAATGAGGACAATGAGCCTCAGGCTCATTCAAGCATGGATTTCATTCAGATCAAGCAAGCTACAGGTACTTAGTCCAGATCCTTGGATTGGCTCCATCTCCTTCTCTCACTCCTCTTCCAGGGGTTCCATACATAAAATTTAGCTTTTGGAACATGAACTCCAAGCAAGAAAATGTTTAGAACCTAGGAAGGCAATATGCCCAGCCAATTCCTAAGCCCTTCATGGACAGCTGAGCAGGCCAGACAAGACCTTTTCCTTTCTGAAATAGGCCCAGTCCCAAGATCAAGAGTTCATTCTTCCTTGTAACCTTCATGTGTCCTCCAATTTCCTTTTTCCACAACTTCATGCCTACAGTAATTGCTTCATCTCTCTCCTGTGGAGGATCTCTCCCACAGAGTATATACTGGCCATGAATGAAGAAAGAGCCAGGCTTGATTAGAAGAAATGGAAACGCTTATCTGCTTCCCAGACCCCACCCTCACTGTCCTCAAGACAGTGACTCTCCAGAGTTCTTTTAGGGGCCAAAGGGTGAGCTGTAGAAAATCAGGGACCCACAAACAAAAGCAGGGTACAGCACCAGAAAACAATCTTTGAGTTGTTACTCCAAGCAAGGATCAGCATGAAAATAACCGAACACCTTAGATTAAGCTTCTCAGATGCTTCATAATGAGGTTTAAGGAGAGAACTACATACCAACACTAATTGATGGTTGTTATCACACTATGTGGGTTCATAGTGAATTTATTTATTCATAGGTAAAGTAAATGGATAACCTTCTTCCATGAAGTGCTTTCTGTTGCATCTTGTATACTAAACATAAAAGACAGTTATTGTATGTTACGTAATTATTTACCAGGAGTCAATGTACTCATTTAGGATTAACTGTTATGAAGGGGATGGAAACTAGTGGCGTGTGTGTGTGTGTGTGTGTGTGTGTGTGTGTGTGTGTGTGTGTGAGAGAGAGAGAGAGAGAGAGAGAGAGAGAGAGAGACGAGAGATTTGTTTAATGCTAGTTTTATTACATTGAAATGAAATATTTGTTTAGTTACCTTCTTTCCTAGAGAAACGATACAGATAAGCACCTATCCGTTAAATACAAGTCTTCACGCTGTGCCAGGATAATACAGGAGATTAAGTGAGGAGGAGGGTTGCTTTTCTGATCCCCCACTAAGCAAACCTAGCATGGATGCACGGGCACTGCTCTTGCAATCTGAAATGGTGTCAGGAAGCAAGAAGAAACTTTCCTTCCTCATTTCTTGGCCCCCTATTTACTGAGACTGGTAGAACCCTCTCCTACCCATCCCCTACAGCCCACCCTTTCTGAAAGGCACCATGATGTAAGGGACTAGTGTTCTGTTGTAACTTATCTCAAGAGCCAGGGAAATCACCAGGATGTATTGATCTGACCTGCTGAGAAAGTGCAGAGCATCTTCCTCCAGTGTTCCCAACAATGGGAGACGTGACTCCTAACCAAGGCCTCACCCACCGAGTATGCTCAGCCTTGATTAAGTGTCACTTGGCACCTAATGAACTCAGTCACCACCCATGTCCATGAACTCCTGCCATTGTGCTGGGAGATGCTGTTGGATGCTCACGTTATCCCACCAGGTTATCTGCCTGCTTTGGAGAGCTCACTGCAGGAAACAGGCTACAGCTGAATCAGTGTGACAGTCATTCACTTGTGCTCTTAGGGAGAGCTGCAGTGTCAGCTTGCTGCATAGCAGAAAACACCAACTAAGTATTACTCCTCAATCTCTGTTGGACAGTCCACTCATTCCACCAATCCTAGATGTGACCCATGGTGAGGCACTGAACTAGGTCCTCACAGGAATTGGGGTAGAATGGTCTATCAGAGACACCCACAGCTTTTTATATATAATCATATCCAACCTCTCACTGTGGTACAAAGCCCGGGAGATCAATACTAAACTCATGGTCACAATGGTACTAAACTAAGCCATGGCCTGGCACTATGGCAAGACAGTGATGGGTCACCCACTGCCTGCTGAGCAAATGAACAGGGACTGCAGCCTTGTCAAGCTTCTCACTGGGAGGTCTGTTGTCTTCTCAGGATCGTCTGTGAGATGGGCCATGCCCTTATAGGTACCACATCTGGGCCCGTGCGCCTGTGCATTGGGGAATGCAAGCCAGAGTTCATGACCAAGTCCCACCAGCAGTATACTTTTGTGGTAAGTACTGGGACCAAGGTTAGCCACAAGGATACACATTTGGTCCAGACTTATCCCAGAGAATTTTCATCTGATCCTCCTAGCCAGGCAGACCATGTGACCAGTAAAGCGAATTTCTGGCCTCCCTGCATAGAAGGCTTTCTTTCTGGGGTTGAATAGTCACATGACTTTTAAAAAAAGCAAAAACAAAAAAACAAAAACCCAGAAAACCTAGAAACTTTGGAGCCTCAGAGGACCATAGGTCAGAGTTCTAAGTAAGGCAAAACTGTAAACCTTCCTTAGAAAACGGGTTCTAGATGAAAGACTAGGCTGCCTTTTATCCCTCCATGTGACATTGTGATCTAATTCTAGCCTAATGAAGACACACAAATTAAGCAGTTTATACTTATCCATATGCTTTGATTTTTGATGAGGATATTCTAAGCTAAGGATTAGAAGAGTCTCTAATCTGGCAGAGATGTACCTCTGTGCATAAGACAGGAGAGAGAACATATGAGCTGACAGTTCTGTGTGTCTGTATGGTTACACGTACATGTATGTACACCCCTAAAGACATTTCATCTAGCAGTTTTGGTACCAAAATCTTCTGTGAGGCTGGCACTAAATTCATGCCAAATCAATAAACTGCTTCTGAGGTCCTGGAGTCTCTTCAGGCTCAATGAATCCTGAATCAACACATTGTATAGGGGCCCCTTAAGTTCCTTTTCTAAATCTTACCTACATCTCCTTACTGAGTACTTCATTAAAAAGGTGTTAACAACAGTGGATGGGGTCAAACCAGCCTCACTAAGAGTTTTTTAAAATCATCAAGTCACAAAATTCTCTTCTTCCTAAAGCATTTTACTACTTAGTTTATAAACCTTCCAGGCCTATATTCTCATTTGGGCATTGTTACCTTTTTCCTTACACTTTTTTCTCTCAGATTCCCCAGTCTGTCTGCAGCCACTCTACCTCATGTCCTTCCAAGGGCACATGAGAGCAAAAAGAAAAGATAGAGAGTTGTAAATATCAGAACTGCAAAGGGTCCTAGGCCCACCATACTCTCCTCAATGGATAAAGGAACAAGTTGAAATCTAGAATAATCGTGTGACCCATCTCAGGGCCATAGAGAGTGAGGGGCTGGTACAGACTAGAATCCATTCACTAAGTTAAATGCACTTCCCACGCTGTGTGTGGTGTCTCCCACATGCTTTTGATCCCAGCACTCAGGAGGTGGAGACAGAAGGGTCTCCAGCTCAAGACCAGCCTAAGCTATGTATTGAGACTCTATCTAACAAGATAACAACAAATAAAAACAAAACCACACACTTTCCTTATCAGCGCCCACTAGGCAGAAGCAATTCTTTCTGATTTAGGTCTGCTCTCTGCTTGGTGCATGATAGGCTAGAGTTTCTTTTAATTAATTTCTTTTACATTAAGCTAAGTGAGCATACTTGCAAGTGATATTCTCATCCACTAGTAAGGGTCAGAGAAGCCATGTTTAACATTTACTGATGGCATCAAGAATGAGGTCTCAGTGCTTAGGGCAGGACAAGAGGACATATACATGGACCATTCATAGAGGTTGCAGTCTATCAGCTGCCCAGCTTAGGCAAGAACATTTTACTCAGTACTATTGATCTTGTGCCAAAACCAACCAACCAACCAACAACAACAAACCTTAGAACAGGCTGTATATAAAGTAGCATTTTCAAATTGTTCTCAAGATGCAAACTACTTTATAGATTAGTCAGTGTCTTATCAGCTTTCTCTTCAGTATTATGAGTACAAGACTCCTCAGGAAGTTAATTATTAATTCCAATGTATGGCAGCCCTTCACCTTCCCTAGAGAAAGCAATGATGTTTGGAACTACTGAGGGTGGGAAAACTACCTCAGCTCTCAGCATGATTGTTATTCCTCTTACCATTATGTCTAGCCTTGAACCTAAGCTAGGAATGTTTCTCTGTTTCTTTTCAAAGAATCCTTCTGTGCTGTCACTCAGCCCGATCCGGGGACCAGAGTCAGGAGGTACCATGGTGACCATCACAGGCCATTACCTGGGTGCTGGGAGCAGCGTGGCAGTGTACCTGGGCAATCAGACCTGCGAATTCTATGGGTAAGGTAAACGTGAAGGATGGTGTGTTGCTGTTGTCTGGCATGCCCATTACCTCCTCATTGGTCCTCTCCTTGCTCAGACATGCTAGTCATTGTTAGAAATGTATGCCACTTACCAGTTTATATCCCATAGATTGGAGGGGCTGGTAACATCTAAAGGGAACTGGAGGCAAGGATTATTACAACAGATGAGGAGTAATCCCAGGAGCTCCCCACGCTAAGGTTCACTGTAGGGACTTGAGACTCATGGAGGTGACATGGTCTCAGCATTTTTTTTATTATTTATTTATTTATTTATTTATTTGGTTTTTCAAGACAGGGTTTCTCTGTATAGCCCTGGCTATCCTGGAACTCACTCTATAGACCAGGCTGGCCTCGAACTCAGAAATCTGCCTGCCTCTGCAAGCGTGCACCACCACTGCCCGGCTTGGTCTCAGCAATTTAAGCACAGATTTGTTCTGTGAAGGATGGTGAAGCATATCATCTGTGCATAAAACAAAACAAACAAACAAACAAACAAAAAGCTAACAAAAAAAATCCACCTAATATTGTCAGCCACAACCATGAGCCCTGAGGATTCAGACTTATGGTGAATTCTGAAGGAATCCACGGATTAGGCCCCAGTCTACCCCATGTTACCCACCTGAGCACTTTGCATTCTAAACTCTGCCAGAGCAAGCCTTGTATTTTTTTTTTTGATTGGTTTGTTTTAGAACATAATTTGTCAATTTTCTTCTTCTTTTTCTTTTTAATAATTTATATTTTTCAAATCATAATTCATTCACACAGGGGTTATAAACACAGAAAGGCAGGACGTGGGGAATGACACTGGAGTGTGGGTGTTTAGAGGGAATACAGATATCTTTCAGAACAGGGTATTGGCTGGGTGAAGGTTCAGGGGACAGATCACTATGACTCTGCCTATGATTTACTTGTCCTTATCTAAGTTGGTATTGTCTGCCAAGGCTACCTATTTACAAGGTCTATGACTACTCAGGCTTGTAAATTTCCGTGAAAACTGCCTGTTTACATTAGCTTATAGCCATCTGTTTCAATGTTTTTCCACAGAGACCCAAGACGTGGTGTTAGTATACATGTATGACAGGCCTATTGCTGATTTTAGGCCTATGTCTGATTTTAGGCCTTCAGTGTATAAGCAGGGCTGCCCCTGACATCTCCTCCCTTCTCTAAGTATAGAAGGGCTGTGGCGATTCTAATCTTGCGAAGGCGGGGATAGAGGCCTGATCTCCTTTGCCGGGCGGTGGTGGCGCACGCCTTTAATCCCAGCACTTGGGAGGCAGAGGCAGGCAGATTTCTGAGTTCGAGGACAGCCTGGTCTACAGAGCAAGCCTTGTATTTTTATCGCAACAGAGGACATGGATATGTATTGACAACCTGACTGGACCCTAAGTGTTGATTAGTCATATTCTAGAAAAAGGAGTTCTCCAAAGTCTCGTAGATCCTTGTCTATACCCATATTCTTTAACCTTTCTACTGTGCTCCCTTCCTAATCCAGCGAAGGTACAGGGAAGGGGCTGATGGACACTGGTAGATATTTCTATAGCACAGAAAATAAGAAAACAGCAGAATGTATCACGGGCCACACATGGGGCGGGGGACATGCCTTTCAAGCTAGTTCATACCCATCTCTTTTGTCTTAACCCTTCTCTGTTTCTCCATCAGGAGGTCAATGAATGAGATTGTATGTGTTTCACCCCCATCCTCCAATGGACTAGGACCAGTCCCTGTCTCCGTGAGTGTCGACAGAGCCCGGGTAGATAGCAGTCTGCAGTTCGAGTATATAGATGACCCACGAGTCCAACGTATCGAGCCAGAGTGGAGCATCACTAGGTGAGTGAGATTGGTGAGGTACATCTAAAGAGATTTGAGGTTATCTGAACACATCATCTGGAAGACAGTGTGATTGGTGTACTGTATCTGGAGAAAGGTGAGGTTAACAGGATTCACCCAAAGGGAAATGATGTTGCAGAGGCCCTACAGTCAAAGGGTGGCTCATACTGGAGACCCTCGTGGTTGAATCTCAGTTTACCAAATTTAAGGGGTTTTTACCTAACCTAGCTTCTGCTTGTTTCCAGTGGGCACACACCCCTAACCATCACGGGCTTCAACTTGGATGTCATTCAGGAGCCAAGGGTCCGAGTCAAGTTTAATGGCAAAGAATCTGTCAATGTGAGTAACCTTTGGTCTTCCCCTTCCCTGGCTTTGGTAGCCATGGCTCTCTGGCATATCTTGCAAGGCCAGGAGCTAAGGGTTAGGTACCTGGATGCCTGACCACTAGACAGGGAAAATGATTGAAGACTTGACTTTATAGTCATGGCTCCACCTGAATCATCCAGAAACAAATGTGATGACATTATAATTTCAGGTGATATAGCAATGGTCTAAAAGTGCTGGCTGCTGAGTTTGATACAGCACAAAAGGGTTATGTTCACTCCAGTGAAAATGTTCCCTTAAAGGATAAATGAGAAACAGCGTGGGAGGTAGAAAGAAGCTCTTCCTCCACATTTAGAAAGTTCTGTATTAGAAGTAAGAATCTGCCATTTATGGGCTATATGGCTCCAACCAAGTCCTTTACCTTCTGTGATTCTGTGCTCCTTGTAGGCAAATGGCTGAAAGACTTGCTTTGCAGTGTCTGAACAGGCCAGCTATGGAATTCATGTCTATACCTAATGTCAGCAGACAGAGAATTCTGACCCACTGGCCAGACGACCACAGCGTCTTCAGTCCTTTGCATAGCTGCATAATTTTATTCCATTTAGCTATGAGTGTTTGTGAATTTCGAAAAGTTCTCTTATTCTGATGAGAACAGAATGTCGGATGAGCAACTGCAAAGTTTTCAGTCTGTTCCTGCAGCACCGTCTCACTCCTTTTAACTGGCGTCTTCTGAACAATATTGTATTCATAATTATAATACAGAAGATGCTGTATTGGCTGTTATTGTTATTGTGAATTACAACTATTACTTCGTGACCTTTGGGATATTGGGAAAGCTGAGATGGACAAGCAAAAGGTGGAATGATGTCTCTCCTTCTATCTCTGACATGTCCAGCAAGCCAAAGCTTCCTTGGAAAACAGAGGGCACAGAAATAACACAATGCTAGGCTAGACCAAAAAAAAAAAAAAAAAGTGTTAAGGATTATCAGGTCCCACACCCTCATTGCCTAGAGGAGAAACTAAGGCCAGATGGATAGATAACTTGCCCCAAGCACAAGATATTCATGGTTATGACTTCCCATCATACTAGACTTAGCCCTTTTAGCTCTGTAAACAGATTCTCCATTCACCCAAGTTCAGAACTGGAATCATAGGAAGAACCTGGACGCTCTCTGCCTCCTGACAGCTAAGTCTCTCCTAAGCCCCCAGTCATTGTTGTTCTGTTAAATTTCTAGAGCCTGAGGTGTGAGGAATGGGAGCCTTGAACTCATACCAAGGGAAGATAACCCATTCCTTCTTCAAAAACTACAGGTTTTAAGATACAGATGTTATTATCATTCCAAAATGGCCAACCAGAATACAACTTACAGATAAATTCTTAAGAGAAGGAACCCCCATGCCAAGGCAGCCTCCTTTCAGGCAGAAAAATAAAGCTTGCTCTAGCTTCTCTTAGTCTTCATAGGAAGGACAGTGCTATAGGGCCAGAGGATTGATTTGTGTATGTCAGTTGGCTCTAAGGCATGAGGGTCTCTTCCTGGCTGCTTGGTACAGAGTCGTGGGCTGGTTAGGGCATGTGAATACTATGACATGAGGTGGTTTGGACTAGGGATGGCTCTGTCATTGGTTTCTATCTACATGCAAGGAGTGCAGCCTAGTTGCAAGGCTTTTGCTATCTCAAAGAATTGACCAAGATGGGGAGGACTTTCTCCCCAGTTAACAGGATCAATATAAGACACCAATACACATAAAATGAGATGTGAATATAGTATAGAGAAAATGCTACAATGTTAGCATGAGGGAGACAAGGGTGACTCCCAAAAGCTCATTTGTCCTCAATGAAAGCAAAACAAAAAAAACAGGGCTTGAGCTTCCCTCTTACATGACATCCTGGAGAAGCCACAGGCCAGGTGAGGTCCCTTCTCTCCTCCAAAGATTCATCCACATCTTGAGGGCTATTCCTTCACTGCCACCATCCTTACTCATATGACTACAGTATTTCGAGGAACTAACTATAGTTCCAACTGCTGGGAAGAATTGGAGGGCTCTAAGACTACATGGTGACCTGCTTGGGAGTAGCTGGGCTCACAGGCCTGGATGATGGAAGGCATGGAGGAAGGCAGTGTCCCTAGAACAGGGCCCCAACGTGCTGCCCAGTGCCTCTGTCTACAGTATGAGGAAAGAAGTACTTTGCCCTTCTGCTGTATTTGGTCCCTGTCTTAGCCTCAGCCTTCCTGGAGCTACCTGTCTCCTTGTGTTCCAAGTTCCCAGTAGACAGTGAGGAGGACTGGCACAACTTTTGGCCTCAAAAATGCAGAGGGTTGTTGGCAAGCTGCATTCATTTAATTACACCTGTTGCTTCTCCTATGCCTATCAGTATCCCCAGATGCACCATGACATGGATATTAAGTTGGAAAGGGACGGAAACTGGTCCCTAGAACAGCAGAAAAGCCAGGGAAGCAGTTTGGTTCAGAAGGTTTAAAACTTGGACTTGAAGTTCTGACATCACTTCTACATACCAGCACTTCTCTGTGCTGTCAACTGTTTCACACAGGCACCGGTTTCTTGTCATGAAGCCTGAGTGTGTTCACACACACACACACCATGCTAGGCAGGATAGACTAGAGTGTTCTAGGCTGTTCCTGTGACCGACCAGTTCCCACAAAGAAAACGAGCTAACTGTGATGCAGAGTAAAATTTAGGAGGAGAGCAAGCTGGAATCTGCTTTTTTCCCCCTTATGCCCTGCAATGGGTCTGTTAGTAGTTTCTTTGGTTGGGTGTTGTCTTAGCCTCAGAACCAACCACTGCAGGAGAGAAGAGCAGATGGTGCTAACCAGGCACCATCTAGTAGACTTTTGATGGCAGATCAGAGGTATATCAAGAGACAAGGGAGAGCATGAACTCAGTGTCACTTATGAGTACAGATGGAGGAGTATGTAGCCAGAAAAAAGAAAGAAAGGCCCTGAGTGGCAGCATTCTGTTTACTGACCACTTTGTGCTGAGGCATTAGCTCAACACTACGCAGGGCACAAAAAGCTCGTCTCACCACTTTCCGTTCCACACTGAATACTCCCACCCCTAGCCCCCACACATACTCCCCCACTGCAACTGTCCTCTTCTTCAGACATTCTTACATCTTCAGTCTTTGCATTTGCTGTCTCCTCCAGCTGAAACTTGTTCCCGCACTATTCTTTGGCCTAGGTAAGCCTCTTGTTCTTCAGATAAAAGCATTCACTGCTTCTGAGGGAAATCTTTCCTGAATCCCGCTTTAGGCCGTGCACACTCACAGACTTTCCAGAGCATCTGGTTCCTCCCACCAGAGTGCTCCTCATCCATTCATGCATTTCACAGGATCGTGCCCTGTGCTGCCCCAGGCTCTCTGTGGAGTAGCTTATAAAGCTTGTTTAATTAATCCAAAGCTATCCCTTGAGACTACTTCATTCTGTGCACTAGACTCTCAGCCCAGTGTCTGCCAGAAAACAGGTGCTCAGAACAGTGTTAATAAATAAATGAGTGGGGTTCAATGCATTGTCACCATAGTTTTTTTAAGGGCCACCTATGTAGTGAAGGAAGTCAAGCAATCAGAGAGTAAGAGGAGATGACGGACCCACCTTCACCCACCAGGTGGTCAGGTTTGAATGCTGCTCTCTGCTTCCCAGGTATGCACAGTGGTAAACACCACCACCCTCACCTGTCTGGCACCCTCTCTGACCAGTGACTACCGTCCAGGTCTGGACACTGTGGAACGGCCAGATGAGTTTGGATTTCTCTTTAACAATGTCCAGTCCTTACTCATCTACAATGACACCAAGTTCATCTACTACCCCAACCCAACGTTTGAACTGCTCAGCCCCACTGGAATCTTGGATCAGAAGCCAGGTTCACCCATCATCCTGAAGGTAGGAAACACAAGTGGGGAAGAAAAGCCTGGAGAGTGGTGGGAGAGAGTGTCGCAGACCCTTCTTTCTTAAGACCACTATGTGCTAGCACATAGAAGTCTTGTTGCACCCCACCTACCCTTAAATACCATGTGTCCTCCCCTCCATCTGTATCTGTCTGTGTTTTGTGTCTCATTTTCCTTTTCTTTATCTTCCTCTTTCCCAAACACCTTTTTTTTTTTTTTTGGTTGGGGGGGGGTGAGGGGAGGGTCTCCTTTCATCTGTGACTGGTTCAAGTCTCTTTAAAAACCAGTCATGGAGGCTTACTGGTTTTTACATTGCTGCCTCACCCTGTCTCCTTTATCTCTTTTTAAGTAGGTAATTAATTTCTGCTTACAAATGCCAATTCTCCTCATTAAGACACCTGTTCTCTACAGGGCAAAAATCTCTGTCCTCCTGCCTCTGGAGGGGCCAAACTCAACTACACAGTAATGATTGGAGAGACACCTTGCACAGTCACTGTGTCTGAGACACAGCTGCTCTGTGAACCTCCCAACCTCACAGGACAGCACAAGGTCATGGTGAGTGAATCTTTTTCTATCTCTTTCCTCTGCCCAACCTCACCGTGTATGCATGAAGAAAGGTTCCCTTCCACCTCAGTTCTGACTCATGCCTTCCGTATTTCCTCATCTCCATGTCCTATGTCAAAATGGATAGTAGTTGGGAACATATAAGTAGAAAGCCAAACCCCAAGGCAGGAGGAATTGCTTAGTATCCAAATACTCACAGCACTGTTGTAGTCTGCCCTGCCACTGCTCACACTGTAATGCTATAGGATATGACAGCACACCAGGGCTCTATACCTGTGTGTCTGTGTGGACAATGTACAGGTTCACGTGGGTGGGATGGTGTTCTCGCCTGGCTCCGTGAGCGTCATCTCCGACAGCCTGTTGACCCTGCCGGCCATCATCAGCATCGCAGCTGGTGGAAGCCTCCTTCTTATCATCGTCATCATTGTCCTCATCGCTTACAAGCGCAAGTCCCGGGAAAATGACCTCACACTCAAGCGGCTCCAAATGCAGATGGACAACCTGGAGTCCAGGGTGGCACTGGAGTGCAAGGAAGGTGAGTGCAGGTGCATCCTCACTTCCTGGACTTCCCCTTCTTCACTAATCTCATCACCCTCCTTACATACAAACCCTGTCTTCATCTCTATTCTCTCTATATATTCTCTTTCTACAAGCCTTCGTATTCTATTCTTCTCCCAGGAACGTTCCCTATACTTGGGATTGGAGAAGCCCCAGGGATGCCCAAGTGTGAAGAGACAGGTCCATTGGCAGTGTTCACGTTCCCTGATCTGCCCCAATTCAGCCCATTATTTTGGCCAACTGTCTCTTCCCTGTCAGGACTAGTTTGTCCTCACAGTAAGAGTCTGCCATGCCTCACTGTCTCAGACCAGATCCTTTAATTGCCGGAGTTTATTCCTTTCCTAATACTTACAGGAGGAGTGCCTTTGCAGAACATGGAAGCCACAGTCAGGAACATAGGAAAGCCCTGCCTCCTTCCCAGCCTGTCATCTCCTAGGATTTGTTTTCTATCTCTACTGTAGACTGAATGTTCCAAAAGCCATACTTGCTGACAGCCTTGGGTATGAATGTGTGTAGGAGTGGAGATTGTGTTTTCTCTCATCTCCCACACAGACACATCCACAGGGTGACTGACAAGCATACCTGGCATTCTCTCAGGCTGAGGACCTAGCAGGCTCTTTGGGTAAACATCTCAATTAGAAATCAAAACATTTTTCCTTTTGTGGCAAGTGGCTTTTCACAAGCAAGCAACTAACTCTTGGACAATGGGGAAGAACTGTACTGGGAGAGATGGGTCAAAACCCTCCCATCTCCCTCATACCCCAGCACAAAGCCTGAAGATTTACCTATTAACCTAGGAAGCCAGGGAGGCACTTGGGACCCCTTCACTGCCTGGACTCACCTGTAGGATGAGCAGTTGACAGCCAAGGTTTTTACATCCTGGTTCTTCTTTCTAGGGGAGGGTGATCTGTTTGTTTATTCTTACCTTTGTTGAACTCCAGAAGTTTTCCTCTTGCTTCTACAAACACCTACTAAAGGGCCTAAGTCATATTGTTCTCTTCTCTATATTTTAGCCACCTTTGCAACTGTAGAAGTTAAAAAAAAAAGGTAGATGTAGAAGACATAGAAAGTCTCCATCTTCTCCTTACAGTATGTTACCCAGATTTCATTCAGTATAATAAGTCCCAGAGGTAGTCACCCAGTAAAGAGAGGAGAGGAGCTGGGAGATAGCTCAGTCACATGCATGAGTGCCTGAGGCTGATCCATACAACCCACATAAAAACAAACAAACAAACAACAACAACAAAATGGCCAGGCATTGTGGCATTGTGGCATTGTGGCATTGTGTGGCATTGTGGCATGAGCACAGGGAAAGCAGAGACAGAAGGATCTCAGCTCAGTGGCCAGCCAGTTTAACCTAATTTATGAACTCGAGGCTAATGAGAGCCTGTCCCTAAGGAGGTGTTTCTGAAGATGTCACCTGACATTATCCTCTGGCTTCCAAAGGCACACATGTCATAGACACTTTTGCACGTATCTATTCACATGCATACATACACACACACACCTTTTTTTTTTTTTTTTTTGAAAAGTTACTTAGGTTGAGTTTGAAATTTTTCTGTATGGTTAGTTAATCCTGCTGCCAAAAGGCCTGTTGGTGAGGCTGCATATAGTGGCTACATATAGTGGCTAAAGTGTGTAGCCAAGCAAAAAGTCAAAGAGAGAAACCCAGAGTCTCACAACTTGCTTAAAGCAAATCCCTAAGATCTTCCTCTGGTTCCATGTGTTCAAATTCCCACCACTTCTAATAGCTTCAAGTTGGGGACCATGCCTTAGGAAATCCTTAATGTCCTATAGTAAACAACCTATAGCAAAAACCTAGGACGCCTTCCTCATTACACTCCTATAACCTACTGCCTCTGTACCGCAGCTTCCTCCTTCAGACAAGCTTTTCCCTCTCTCCTCTCCCCTGACTTGAGTTCCTCTAAGCTTCCCTGTCTTCACCCACTCTCACAGCTTTTGCGGAGCTTCAGACAGACATCAACGAGCTAACCAGTGACTTGGATCGATCAGGAATCCCTTACCTGGACTACCGTACCTATGCCATGAGAGTCTTGTTCCCGGGCATTGAGGACCACCCTGTTCTGCGGGAGCTGGAGGTACTTACTGCCTGTCTTCTAATGATGCAGGCCAGGGGGTTTCAGGAAATCCAGGGGCCAGGATAGAGTTATGAAGGAAAAGAGTCAGTAGTTTATAACAGCTTTAAAAAAGAATGGGGGGGGGATTGGTGGGGAACAGTAGTTTGTGATAGACTTAAAAATAATGACTAGGGGCTTCTTTGTACATTTGTTGGTTTGTTTACTCAAGAGAATGAGTCAGGGCAGAGGAAATGAAAGGGCAATGAATAAGCTTATGGATCACCTCCCGGTGGATCCTTTGGGAAGTGAGGGACATCTGTTGCCAGTGCTGTTCAGAACCTCACCACCCAGACAAGTAGAGAGGAGCCAGAAGACTATAACCTTCACAGAACAACCCCCAACAGCAGAGTTGGCGGATTAAATGGTTGCAGTACTCAGGAAGAGGGTCCTAGAGCAGGCATTATCACCAGCGTGTCCTAAGGGCCTGGGGCACATCCAGAGCCTGTCCCCTGAAGGTTATCCTGCCTACTTCAGGTACAGGGAAATGGACAGCAGCATGTGGAGAAAGCCCTGAAACTCTTCGCCCAGCTCATCAACAACAAGGTGTTCTTGCTGACTTTCATCCGCACCCTGGAGCTCCAGCGAAGCTTCTCCATGCGAGACCGCGGGAATGTGGCCTCTCTCATCATGACAGGCCTTCAGGGTCGCCTGGAATACGCCACTGACGTCCTCAAGCAGCTGCTCTCTGACCTCATTGACAAGAACCTGGAGAATAAGAACCACCCCAAGCTGCTTCTCCGCAGGTCTGACCCACAGTGGGAGAAAAGGCAGTTTTAAGTTATAGACCTTGCCAGATAGGCTCCCGATTATCCTCACTCCCCTGGAGATGGCTTTCATGAAGGGTTGCTTGTGTCCTTCTTATACCAGCCCAATATGGCGTGTGATCTTTTGCTGGTCCTGGGAAACCAGGTGACTTCCAACCCAAGTACATGGCCTGTCTCGGGACTCAGCCTGAATCCCAATCTACTTGTCTCTGTGACCTCACACCATGGGTGCTGCCTTTTTGTGGTTTGGTCTTCTCATAAACGAGATAAGAGAAATACCTGTCTCTGCTTCCAGACCTGTGTGCCTGAGCATGGTGCCACTGTTGACTGAAATGAATCATACACCTTACTTTCTCCATCTCAGTGGTCACAATCCCAGTGTCCAGACACCCCGTTTGTGGCCACCATATTGGACAGTACAGGCAAGCAATTTCCCATCCTCATGTTTAGTTCGGATAGACATGCTGGGTTAGAGATTAGGAGCAGATTCAGGGCCCAGCTTCCTAGCCTGGAATTGCTAGCATATACCACCTACCTCAGTTGCCACTTCCCTAGTAGGGCACAGGTTTTGGAGACCCTCTATCTCTTCCTGCACCAACCCTCAGTTGAGGTCATAATGAGCCCAGCACAAATTTAGGGGTCCAAGCAGCAGGAATTGAGTCTGCCACCTCCACTCAGTCTCTTCTGTACCTTTGCTCACTGGTCTTGATCTTTCAGGCCACACATGGGGTGGCTCTGTTTTATAAGCACTGAGGCCCCATCCTGCGGGTCTGAGCACTGGAAGCTCTCATTAAGAGCTGTTGTATTTAAATTAGAGCTAATCTCCAACACAATACTGGAAGAGGGTGCTGGGAGGGCCCAGAGAGAAAGCTGCAATCTCTTCTGCCTTTGTCACTCTCTCCCAGCCCTTATTGCTAAGCAGCCCTGGCTTTTACATCAGCCCGAGGGTATAATTTGCATCACGTGTAGAGAGTTAAAATACCCCTTCACGTCCCCATCAACAAGGTCTGTCACTGCTTTGCTTTGTTACTTCCCAAGTTCCCATAGCTGCAGCCTGGGGTGGGGGAGGGGAAGGAGGTGGTGCTTAGAGAAACAGATCCACCCCTGTTGGCTAAACTCTTAAGCACTGCTTTCCACCTAAAAGCCTAGAGAGCATGTGAATCACAGGCCTAATCATTCATATTTACCTAGTGTTTTACTGTGCAGAAAGTGTTATCTTTTGCACTTTAAATATATTCACAGATTCACCTCTAATAATTGAAAGTGTGAATTCATTATGACTGTGACTTACCCAAAGTTATAGAGTCAGTAAATAATATAGCCTGGATTGGAACATGGCAATCTATGTTTAGAGAGGCAGGTCCCTGGCATGTACTACAGAGTCCTTGAGTTGCAGAAACCATAGAGGACCAGGCAGGCTCTCTTCATTACCAGGAGACCTGAGGGAGTAAGGAACTAGTCCTTTCCAGCCTGTGGGATAAGCATTTGTCTGCAACCCACATCAGGTGTCACCAACAGTTTGTAATACCACAGAGCAGCAAAAATAAAATATCTTGACTTTCTAGAGTCTTAGAAAATTAAATCTTGAGAAACGACCTCCCAGGCAATTTTCCATTAAGTATAGGAAAGAGCTCATTCCTGGCCAGTCACTTCCAATTATTGCTGGAGTTTGCTTGGGTTGCTAAGGTCCAGTCTTAGCCCTATGCTCTCTTACACACACATGACAAGCCTAGGTATACCACCAGTCACCTGTGTAACTGGCTCCTCTGCCTTCTCCAGGACTGAGTCTGTGGCCGAGAAGATGCTGACCAACTGGTTTGCTTTCCTTTTACACAAGTTCCTGAAGGTAAGAGGGAATGGGCAGGGCTGGAGCAAACCACACACCCTGGCCTTGGAAACAGCATGGAGACCTGTTCTTCAGAGACAGGGATTCCTTGGCATGACTGCTCCCAAGCAAAGCAGACCTGGCCTCTCTCCCCTGACTTTAGAGGCAGTCAGGAAGAGCCAGACAAGATCCATATTCTCTGACCTGATATGCCCACAGGAGTGTGCTGGGGAACCACTCTTCATGCTGTACTGTGCAATCAAGCAGCAGATGGAGAAAGGCCCCATTGATGCTATCACTGGTGAGGCCCGATACTCCCTGAGTGAAGACAAACTCATCCGGCAGCAGATCGAGTACAAGACTCTGGTGAGGAGCCCAAGAGCCCCGGTACCACCTGTGACTGTCCCTTCTCTACCTTCTAGCCAATGAAACCATTTATCAAAACGAGGCTTGGGGACCAATCTGGGCATATCAAGTATATAAAGAGGAAGGCAGATTTCCCCTCATCTGGTGAGCCAAAAGAGCTGCCTGTGCCTCAGTTTACTCAAGATGATATTGAGGGAGAACAAGTTCACTCACCATTAGGGAGTGCAAAATCAGCAAGGAAAGAAAGTGTGTGTGCTGGTCTCTAGTGTAGACGCTTTGAGGACAAGTGAGGCCAGCCCTTGACACCCATGGATCTATCTTGATGGAGCTTTTCAGGTGCCTCACACTACGCTTACCCCAGCCCATCTAAGAAGTAGATTACCTCTTTCTCGAGAAAGGATTAACACCTTGGCTTCAGCTCTTACAGTAGATGGCAGGAAGAAGAGGAAAAAACCAAGTCTCAGAATAGAGAACCACATTCTTCTCATTAGGAGAACGAACCTTGGAAAACGGTTCTGAGGCCTCAGCTTCTTCCCACACTACTTCCCAAGTGTGTCCATCTCACCCTTGATCCCCTACTTACAGATCCTGAACTGCGTCAACCCTGATAATGAGAATAGCCCCGAGATCCCAGTGAAGGTACTCAACTGTGACACCATCACTCAAGTCAAGGAGAAGATCCTCGATGCCGTGTATAAGAATGTTCCCTACTCCCAGCGACCAAGGGCTGTGGACATGGACCTGGGTAGGAAGGCTGGCACTAAACTAGGAGGGCAAGAGGGGGGCATGGCTTCCAAGAGAACTATCAGGCCGTGAGGTAGTTAGGGAAAGGGATGTGAAGTTCTGCCTGATGCACAGCCCCCACAGGAACATGACTAGATCCTGGCCAGGTGAAGGCAATGGGAAGCACTTCCCCTCTTCCACGTTTGCCTAGCACCCTCCCCCAACCTCTGCCCTTTAGATGTCTAAAAGCTCTGCCACTGATGTCAGCCAATGGAGACAAGGTTCCTAAGTCTCTAGAGGACACAGACTGGGTGACCCTGTCTGCTCTTATACCCTTACACCCATACCATCCTTTCCACCCAGAGTGGCGTCAAGGCCGGATTGCCAGAGTGGTGTTGCAGGATGAGGACATTACCACCAAGATAGAGGGTGACTGGAAGCGGCTCAACACACTGATGCATTACCAGGTAAGGGAAGACCCTCCCTGTGGCCTCCATCCCCGAGAATGGCCTCTTTTCTCTGTTAGAAGGCCTCAAAGGCCAGCAACATACTTTCCTCTCTCCACTTTCTTCCCTGGGTCTAGAAGAGTGATGTTTAGCTTTGAGTGCCCAGTAGATTAATTGGGGGAACTTGCAAAAACGTTGTCTCTAAGACTGCCTTGGTAATCCACCCATATGTATCTCTATAGCTATACAAGGAACAACATATTGCAAAATCCTATACCTGGACAGCTCCAGAAAGGTGTCTTGTGCTCATTTAGCTAGCTTCTTACTAATGCCATCGGCTCTCTGACTTGTAGCAGAACAGGCACAGACTTGTCTTCAGCCCTTAAAATCCACAGTAACTGGAAAAAATTAAATGCTCTTACTTTTTACCTGCATGGAGTGCCTCAGCAGGTATGTAGATTAGATTCAGAATAGAAGGTGACAATGAATATGTTTGTAATACTGCCAGACACATGGAATGAACAGTCATAAAAATCTCAGCAGAAGAATATAAGCATCTACCCAACCCTGCTTTCTTCCCGTGGTAATCACTCCAAGCTTAGGGGTCTCTGTAAGATGAAGCACAGGTAGACACATTGGGATTCAGGAGAAGCACTAAAATAGGAACTGGAAATGAGAGACACTGAGGAAAATTAAGCCAACCAGAGGAAGTGCCTTAGGCTGTAAGACCCATGGGACTGAGATTAATGATATCCTCCTATGTGTCTGGTTTACAAAGACAGGCATGCAGAGAGGCTGACAGACTAGGGTGAGTTGCCAATAACCAGCCATTGGGAGACCCTGAAGCTGGCCAATTGCCTTAAAACACAAAAGAAGCTGGGGGTACTGGGGATACCCCAAAGCACTCCTCTCTGCATCCCCATGCTACACCTGGGTCTCGGTCTCAAGTGATAGAAAGTGTATAGACACCTGTGTTCTATCCCAACACCCACCCTGCTGCTGGGATTCTATAATTTCTCCAAACCTTAAAATATTTATGTACTGAAGGTAATATCTATAACAGGGAAGGCATACAAGTAGCTGAAAGATTTAGAAACAAGTGTTACAGACTCGAGATTTGCACTTACAAGCAGAAGTAATCAAATCATTATGTGTTAATTCCGTGTAAGCACACACACAACCGCCTTCACATTGGTGAGCACACCTAGAACAATGTATGGACCGATTAGAGGTGAATGAGAAAGCCCAAAAGAGACCAAATCTGTGCCACCAAATCTTGTTCCTGAAGGGCAGGAATTTACTTCTATCCATCTTTGATACCTTAAGGCTTGTTTCTGTTACCCAACCTATATATTCCAATAAGAATAGACTGCCCCTTCCTTACTGTGGTCCTCCGACAAAACACTTCAAATTTCCTCGTGTCATTTATCATTTATATATTCATTCGTTCGTCAAATATTTACTGAGCTTTACCGAGTGCAAGGCACTTTGCACTCCCTAGTTCTGAGTGACAGAGGCAGCAGGGAGTCTTCCTTCCTTTGAAAGATTATACAAAATGGCAACATGAGTACCAACACACGCTGAGTGCTCACAGGGTACTAGGTACTTTACCTGTCCTAATTTCTTTAATAATCATCACAACAATAATTACCAGACATGATTATTATCCCCAGTGACAAATGAGACAACCAAGGCCCAGAGAGGCTGGTAAGTGGTGATAGAGCTAAGATCAGACCGAGGCAGGTATTTTGAGCATAGGTTTGTACCACCTATTGGCTGAAAAAGAGCCAAAAAAAAAAAAAATCAAAAAACAGAAAAACCAAAAACCAAAAAAACAAAACAACAAAAACCCAACTGGAGTGGGGTGGGGTGGGGTGGGGTGGGGAGACAGAGACAAAGAGACAGACAGACAAACACAAACCAAGAGAAGTAGCTTTATAACTAGGCTTGGCATTGGTCACATTAGTTACCTTGTGAATTTCCCTAAAGATGACAAAAAACAGTACAGAATGCCATTGTTTGCTGGGAACTCTCACTTTCACCTTCACTTTCATCAGGTTTTCAGAGAAGCGTTTCTATTTTGTGGGTGGCAAGAATTCTTGAGAACAGGGCTAATGCCCCTCACCCCTCCTCAATCATAGACTAAGTGCTGTTAGTACACATAGCTGGCAAATCCAGAGATTCTCCATCAGAGCACCGGCACCTCCTTGGAACAGTGATGGCTGCACGGAGCTCAGAACCCAAGGGCTTACCTACTCAGCCCTCTTGCTCTTTTCCCTGGAGTCAAAGGCTTTTGGAGCCCCTGCAGAAGAAAATCATCTTAATTAACAAAGAGATGAGTAAAAAACTGCCTGGGCTCCTGTAGATTTATAGGGAGGGTAAAATTAAACACCATCACTAAAGCTGGCTATCAGGGAATCTCGTTAGCACTAATGTTCATTTATAGTTTGACTTCTCAACATTTAATTCTTTTTTGGTGGGAGAGAAGAACTGACAATTTAAGACCCAGAAAGATGGTTTTATGGCTGGTGCAGCTATAAATCAAACTTACAAAGTTCATAAAAATTGTTAAAATAAAAAATGGTTTAATAGGAATGTTTTATGGCCCATAACATTATTATAGCTGTTTTATTCCCTCTGCGTTAGGGGTTTAATTGGATCACCACAATTCTGGGGATTCTCCGTTTTTATTAGATAGAGGGCAATCTTAAATCAAGATGGCCCCAAATGTCTTCTCTATGGCTCCTTATTCATCGGCCCTCCTCTAACTGTCGGGTGCTAGGCCTGGCATCTTCTCAGAGGACAGGGCACTGTGCCATCTTTCTCCCAACTCCCCAAGGGCAGATGCACTTTTGGTGAAACTATTCAAGGTGGCCAACTCATAATATAACAAAGGCCAGGAGAAAATTGGAGCCAAAGGAAAAGACGGGGCTTACACCAATGTGACTTGTAGTAAAATCCCAAATTAGGAAATAGACTGAGGAGAATGTGTGCTCTGGAGATGACAGGTCTGAAGAAAAATATCAACTCCTTAGTACATTAATGATGAGGCCCTGAAGCAGTGATTTAGCCCACCCCTGCTGCTATTCTTTCATCTGTAAAATGGAAATCGTCATCCATAACACAAGATTGATGGGAGGCTGAATTTAACCCTTCTGCCCAATAGAAATAAAGTGTGTCATTCTAAATTTTTCACTAGTCTCATTAAAAATACAGAAACAGGATGTTGAAATAATGTTAACAATATACATTTATTTAGCTCATCTTAAAAGAATTAGTTTAAGTGTATAATCAATGTCAGATTTATTAATGACATCATTTGTATGCTTTCATTCATACTAACTTTCTGAAATTCTCTCTCTCTCTCTCTCTCTCTCTCTCTCTCTCTGTGTGTGTGTGTGTGTGTGTGTGTGTGTGTGAACTTGCATGCTTAGTTGAGGCTGGCTACATGTCAGGTGATCCAGAGATATAAAAGGCAATAATGATTGTTTGTAATATTTCTGAACTTCTATTGACCCCACACTCCCTAGAAGTACTTAACTGCTCGAGACACTTCAGTTCTCTCATGTTGTCTTTTTGTGCCCTCCTTAGGTGTCAGACAGATCCGTGGTGGCTTTGGTCCCTAAGCAGACCTCCTCCTACAACATCCCTGCCTCTGCCAGCATCTCTCGGACGTCCATTAGCAGATACGGTAAGCAGCCAGAGTGCAACTAAGAAGCTCAAGGTCTAGGCTTCTGTGATACTCAGAGACCATCTTAAGAGAAGACCCTGATGCTGCCATGCCTTCACACAAAGGTACTGGCTTATCTGTCCCCTTCCTGAGGAGTCTTAAGGGTCATGTGTCTCCTTTGAGAAGAGGCAGCAGGTAAAAGAGTTAGTGTAGCAGGTGTATACCTGATCAGAGGTTCTCCTATCCCACTTTATAGCTGTGGACCCAGTTGAATGGGTAATTATAGCCTCTTTTGTCAAAAGGGTCTTAGTTTGGGACACAAAATTGATCATTCTTTTACGTCCATTCCCAGCCTCCTCTGAGCAGCAAGCTACAGTCTTGCTTTGTCTGTTTTGGTTGCATGTACATTCAAAGACACTAGACTAGCCACCTGAAAGAAGCTACAGGACATAAGGCGGTAGTTCCAAAAAGGGTTCAGAAAATAGATTCAAGGACTCCAAAAGAAGTACCAGATAACACCAAAGAGGATCATTACAACCTGAACCCTTATTCTTTAGACTTTTTTCTAAGACATGGGTTCTATGTGTAGCTGTGGCTGTTTTAGAACTAGCTCTGTAGACCAGGCTAGCCTCTAACTCACAGAAATCTGCCTGCTCTGCCTCTTGAGTGCTGGGATTAAAGGTATGAGCCACCACTGCCCGACACTATCTAGACTTTCTAGAGTGCTTGTGTGTACACATCCAGCTGACATTTTGCCTAATTATTGCCCATTGCTGGAAACATCAGATTCGAGGGAATTCCCAAATTCTCACTAGTGTCTGAGCTCTTAAAATTGCTAAATCTTTTTTTTGTAGAAATTTTAGGCTCCTCTCTCCAACCAAGGATCCATAAAACTATTCACCAAATATGTAGTCCCAAGAGTCCTTTCAAGGTGAAGCAGTTTTATTCTGAATAGATGTAGCAGGAGGATGGCATTCCTGAAGGATGCTTCCAGCAGGAGTTTGGCCTGCCTCACTCTGGCTTTTCCTACCTTCTTCCAGACTCTTCCTTCAGGTATACAGGTAGCCCAGATAGCCTCCGGTCCCGAGTCCCCATGATCACCCCAGACCTAGAGAGTGGTGTCAAGGTCTGGCATCTGGTGAAGAACCATGACCATGGTGACCAGAAGGAGGGCGACCGGGGCAGCAAAATGGTGTCTGAGATCTACTTGACCCGACTTCTAGCCACCAAGGTAACTCTTGCACTACCTAGGCCAACCTGTTTCCTAAACTTTGGCACAAACACCCATGCTACAGATGCTTCTGATTGCCTCTACCAACTCTGCCTTGTATACCTGCTTGCTAGTTGAGTGGGAGAAAAAAAAACAGCTGTACCGGCAATTTAAGGAAAGTCTAACCCTCCCTACCCAAATGTGTCTTAGGCTGAGAGAAGATAAGGGCAGGATCCTTTAGCTTTCCCAGGAGAAAACAAACAAATCCTTCAGGGATGCTATACTTTAGAGACCAGGCTGGATCCCAGAGTCTTTCCCTACTGATCCCACTGCAATGCTGCAGGAACTCTGACATAGTGGCTTAAAGCTCTCAGACTTTCTCCCAGAATGGTCCATAACTATTCTATCAGACTCATGTCTTCATTTTTGCCTTGTTAAATATGCCCAGCATATCAAACACCAAAACACATCTGAGAAAGTCGGGAGTTCAACTAGTCCCCAAAGTCTGTCTTAAACCTATTCACTGGGACCCAGGTCTAGGCTTCTCACTGCCTCTAGAACCCATGAAGCCGGTGGATCAGGGCTGTTCCTTGGTTCTCCTGAAGCTAACCCTCAAGCCTATGCTGCTCACACTAACACCAGAAAGCTATTCATGCTTCTTGTCAGACCCCACTCTACCCTCCAGTCCCCAGCAGGGTGCAGACTCCCAGACCACCCCCTAAAGACTATGCCACCAGCCTTAGTCCTCACATTTATTCTAGGACATTCACTTCCTATCTTCCCATCAAATGCCCTGGGCTCGTACCTTCAGGGCACACTGCCACAGATGAGAAGAGAGATTCATTCTATGGATTCTCAGACTTGTCAGTCACTCCCAGCTCCACAATATCCCACCTAGTATCTACCTCACTCCTGCCCCTCTACCTACACACTCTTGCATTTCTGACAAATTTCCAAGGTAAGATGGGTCCAAGGCCCCATCTGGCATGCCTTCTGCTGCCCTCTGATACCCACCTACCATTTCACCATTCCCCTCCCCACTTTCTCCCACAGGGCACCCTGCAGAAATTTGTGGACGACTTGTTTGAGACCTTGTTCAGCACTGTGCATCGGGGTAGTGCTCTCCCCCTAGCCATCAAGTACATGTTTGATTTCCTGGATGAGCAGGCAGACAGACACAGTATCCATGACACAGATGTGCGGCACACCTGGAAAAGCAACTGGTAACCCCAGGGGAGACCAATGGGAGTGCCACCTTGGGAGGACCAGCATTTGGGTGGCCGGTCGGGGACAGCAGAGGCTAGAGATAAGAGGTAGAGATGGGGGACTGGGTTATCTGGCTCCTGGAACACAGCACAACACACACACACACACACACACACACACACACACACACACACACACACCACACTGCAGAGTCAACATCATCTCCAAGGCTGCTTGCTCCAAGTGGGCCTTGCCTGGCCTGAGCTTTGCATACACTTTTGAGCTCTGCCTTACCACTGTGACCCTTCCCTTGGTAGAACTGCTCCCTTTGATGTAGAATCTTCCAGTTATCAAGAGGAAGAAGCTAGGGAATATATACAAAGCTGTGTGTGAAACCTACAATGGAGCTTTGCAGTCTATCGCTATTGAACCTTCTGAGAGATGCACTTCTGAGCTGGGACCCTTAATAAAGATGGCCAGCTCTGAGGATGAGGCTGGTTCTTGCTAGACTCCACAGATCCACAAGTATGAGATTGCATTGCAGACTTGATCTCTTAAAGCCATGTTTTAACTCCAGCAGCATAGCTTTCAGGAAACAACAGAAAGAATGTCCTGAAGGAATGGTTTTTGTTCAAGTCACTTCCACATCCAGATTAGTGGTGGGAAAAGCAGCTTCTGATAGCGCCTAGCGTGGAACTTTTCCCTCCCAGGTTTTAGGCCTGGACTACAGACCATGGTAAGGACTAGCTTATAGATCAGACAAGACTTAGCCAAGAGCCAGAGTCAAAAGGCTTCCTCTAGGACTGAGCACAAAGGAGAGAAACATTTGGATTGGGCAGGAAGCCCACACAGCTGTCTGGAGTCAGCAATCCCCAGAAAACAGAGCTGACACAGATGGGTTCAGGCTGTCATTTGGAAGTCAAAAGTCCTAGCAACCAGCAAAATACTTTGAGAGAGCCAATGGGGCCTTGGAATAGACGTTCATTCTTTTGATGTTGTGGCCCTGGTCATCTGCAATTTTTGGTAACAGTGGAGCGATGCAGTTCACTGGCAGTAGATGAAGAATGTTCAGTAAGCTCTTCCAAAGCAGATCCAGGGTATCTCCTCAGCTCTGAAGGATATCAAGCCCAGTACTGGGACTAGCTGTTTGGTTAAAATCAGGAGAAAGTTAAAGGTTATTCATTTCTCTGTGCCTTCTGGCTAGACTCAAGCAACAGCAGTGCACCCCTCCCCCAGTGTGAGAGTGTGATACAGCCAAGTCATGTGGCTTACACCTCACATAGCAACAGTCTCAGGAGAAGAGCTTAGATGTGTCCAGCTCTGCCAGAGGAGGACAGGACAGAAGAGCTCTGCCAAAGCTGGCTGAGGCAGCTCCTCCTAGGTTTCAAGGAAGGGTTTGCAGGTTGGAGGACAAGCAGAATTTACAACAGGCTTGGGAGGGGGGTAAACACATTTACAATACCAATCATTATAAAGACACTTGGAAAATTTGGAGTTGGTGAAGTCAGCAGAATTCACAGAAAAGAATAGCGAAAGCTAAGGACACTATCTTGGGCTAGAAGGGCAAGCCCACGACAGAGTTCATGCCACACAGGCATCAGAAGAGTCAAGGCTGGAGGGCAGCTGGAGAAGACAGACTTCAGAAAGAGGCAAAACAGTAGCTACAGAAGCTGTTTTGAAGGCAGGCAATGGGCTTACTGCCTTATGGCCTTGGGAACATTGAAGGCTCTTCCTCTCTGCCTTTAGATTCCAGAGTCTCAAAAGCAGTCTTCTAACTGCCCTTGAGTTCCTTTTGGGAAAAACTCAGAGCCACAGTGAGCCATTCTCTCTTGGAATACCAGCAACAGGTCCTTCCCTTCCCTCTGCCATGCTGAGACACAAAAAGCCCTGGAGGTGACCCCTGAAAGAAATTACCCCATGAGCAACCTGTCCTCTGATCCATTACTGAGAAGTGGCTCACAGTGGCAGCCTAGCTCCAGATGGTAGTGCCGCCACTGAGGGAATACTTACGACTGCCTGACCATTTCATCCTTTTATACAATGGCCATGACCACTGTGAGCGACTGTAGGAACTTGATGGGTTTGTCTGAAGCCTTGAGGAAATTGTGTTGTTTTCTGTAGTTGACCTTCCCCTGGAGCACCGAGGCCTCTAGAAAAGCCTATCAAGAAGGGACAAATCCCAGACACACTCACCCCTCAGCTGTTAGGGAGCAGAGTAAATGCCTTGGTATGAGAAGACCAAAACCACTTTGTTTTCTCCTGCATCTGGGAGCATCATGAGATGAGCAACCAGCTCCTATTGGACCAGTTTCTGAGTTCATTCCCTTCTCTTTTAGAATGTAATATCTGCTCTACCATTCAGCAGTAAGGGAAAGGTGTCAGTAAGGGGCAATGTCAAAGTGCATTTATCAAGGTCCTCTACCTTTTCCTACAGCCTTCCACTTCGTTTCTGGGTGAATGTCATCAAGAACCCTCAATTTGTATTTGATATCCACAAAGGCAGCATCACAGATGCTTGCCTCTCTGTGGTAGCCCAGACCTTCATGGACTCCTGCTCGACATCAGAGCATCGACTGGGCAAGGACTCACCTTCCAATAAGTTGCTCTATGCCAAGGATATCCCCAGTTACAAGAACTGGGTAGAAAGGTTAGTAGTTCCCTCAAGACACCCACTGTGGGCATCAGTGACCACTGAAGACCATGACCTCATATCCCCTATGATGTGGGAAGGAAGGGGGCTTTGTGTCCTGACAAGTCTTATAAATACCATCCTAATTAACACTTACTGAGCATGTAAACATTATCGTGATAAGGATTTTGTATGTATTGTTTCACTGAAATATCCAAATGGACAGTTGTACAATAGCTGCTATGGTTATCTGTATTTTACTAATGAATGAATGGAGGTATAGAAAAGCTATGTAACTTGTCAAAGCTCAAGAGCTACAAGGTAGAGGAGCTGAGATGTGAACACAAGGAGTCTTGCCTGAGTCTGGGATTTTGACTACTCGGGACCCAGCAGCTCTTAGCTGACTGGAATGTCCTTCAGAAACTTGGACTGCATCTTAGACTCACACCTCAGCTTGAGGCAGGGGCCATATCAGAGAAGAGATAGAAGTCAGGAACAGTGTGGACCTCTGGCTCTATCCTCCCGAGGGACTCGGACCAGGGTGGGTACTGGTAGTTGTTTGCTGAACCCCCATCATAGGCCTGTCCTGTCCACGGCAGATACTATGCAGATATTGCAAAGCTCCCAGCCATTAGTGACCAAGATATGAACGCCTACCTCGCGGAGCAGTCTCGTCTGCATGCCACAGAGTTCAATATGCTGAGCGCCCTCAACGAGATCTACTCCTATGTCAGCAAGTACAGTGAGGAGGTAAGACAGGGGCTCAAGGGCGGAGACCCACCTGCAACTTGTTCTAGGCCCGGAAAAACAGTAGTAGCAGTCAGTTTAAAAAGTCACTACCTACAGTCAAACTCACTGAACCCCAAATCATCATCCTTTCTTTACAAAACAGCCCAAACTCTGCTGATTCCTTCAACACCTCCCTGTGCACTATCTCCTCTCACTCAGGGATTATATGACTAATTTTATCCTTTCTTAAGCAATGAATAGAAATATCATTTTACCCTTGGGCAGATCTGGTCAGATTCAGATAGACTGGTGGACTTTGATGTGAACAGAAGTTAACCAGGAAGGTGACAGGCCATGCATTACCACTAGGCTTAAAGAAAGAAGTTGCAAAATAATAGTAGCCCGCTCTTAAGGTAACTCTAAGATATGTTTTAAGCATATGAGAGCTGTCTGTACATGCATATATTCCTACATGTGTTTGTAGATGTGTGTTCTCCATCATGATTTTGTGGCATGCCACCCATATGGCAGTGGTCTCACCAGAGTAAATGCAGCTGAAAAATTCCTGTGTGACCCCAGAGTCATCTGTACCTCATAGTACCCACAAATATATGGTTATGCTATATAAATGAGCCCACCAAGCTGCTGGTTATGCAGCTTACAAGACTAGGTACAGTCTGTGCTCTTAATAGTAAGTAACTGTGTAACTAGTGCATAGACTATGTTTACCATGCTATGCTATGCCTTTGTTAGTGTTTTAGAGCACACTCCTACTTATAAAAGCAGGGGCATACATCGCATATGTGTTCTCTTGTATTTGATTCAATCTACTGCATGTGAGTACTCTGGGGTGTTCTTCTGATGACAAAGCCATGGTAGGACTCTTTTCTCTGAAAGCATCCTCACAGTTAAGTAAAGTATGACTACGCATAGATCTTTTCACTGAATCATGCCAGCTATTTGACATTACATTCCTAAAGGCAGAATGGAAAGGTAGAGGGACAGATGCCAGGTTGATGACGCCAGAAAGTTATGCCTTTGAAGCTGAGTCTTGAGTTACCTGCCTTTGTTTTGCCCCTTAGCTCATCGGGGCACTAGAGCAGGATGAACAGGCCCGACGGCAACGACTGGCCTACAAGGTGGAGCACCTCATCAGCGCCATGTCCATAGAGAGCTGAAAGGAAGACATCCTGTTCCTGGAAGAAAGACTCATACACGCTATCACACTGGCATCTCAAAAGGAAAGATGGGATGAGTGAAGGGTATCAGGCCCCAGAGCTGGCTGTCCTCTAAAACCTCACTGAGAGAAGAAGGAAAGGCTCCACTGTAATGGCAGCCATATTTCATCACAGCCGGTTCCTTCCAGAAGGACAGTGAACACTACCCATCACAGTGTGAGCTCAGGACACTACGGGCAAGGAGAAGGTGGCCCTTTAAGCTGAGAGGCTTGAGCCAAATGGTTCTGCCTCTGTGACCGCTGCTTTGCATGAAGACTCATTTGATGTATATTGGGAAATAATGAGAACTTTATTTAATTTTTTAAGAAAAAGGGAAAAAATACAGAAATAAAACAAGACATAAATCCTCCCTGTCCATCCCGTCCAACTTTTGTTTAATTTGATTTCTGTTCCCTTCTCAGTAATATTTCTCCCTCCTTCTGTAACATCTTTCTCAATGTCAGAAAAATGCCTGAGAGATGCTGAGTAGAACTAGTATGGAAAAGCTCCCCTCTCCCTTGAACTGAGAGGAAGAAGGAGAATCAGGAAGGAGCAGAAGTTCATACTAAACATTTGGCGAATAAGCCAGGAAGAACTGAATCCCACCACAGCCAGACGCACCTGAGAACTGCAGGCCTCTGTGGTGGGAACTGTGGAAGCTGATCAGATCTACCTGCTAAGAGGAAACTGCCTTCCATGCTGTGCCCCTGTGTATCCTCATCTCCTAAGAGAAGGAAGTACCCAACAAGGACCTGTGGGAACACCTTTTCTTTGTTTCACTTAATCCCAAGCCTCAACAAATGAGGAGTTGGTCTTTGGTACTTTTCCTTTTGGTTTCCCCAGAATTGATATCAGAAAGGCAAGAGGTGAGGCTTTCACAGAACAGCCACCTCCTCCCTAAGGACTCTGAACAGAGCCCCATAAGCCAGGCACCTGGGGACTATACAGACCAGGCCTCCTAGTTCTGAGCTGAATGAGGAACATGGGTGTTTGACTTTGGATTCTACTCAACCATCCACTAGTTTACGACAATTAAAAAGAAAACAAACTCAAACACTGTTTACAGTAAGCAATACTTGAAGAGTATAGGTTTAAAAAGCAGCAGTATTTATTATTCTATTTTCTTTTCTCTTGTGCCTGGAGAGGGGAGGTCAACCTTCTCTCATATCCAGAAGCCCCTAACCATCTGGGCATACTGCATTTGCCTCAGTAGAAATGACTGTGGTATTCCATCATCTCTGTCTATCATAGAACCGTGGATGTGAAAGTGTGTTACTTCTGAGAAGGCATCTGTCCTTCCCTCTGTCTCCTGATACCTAATGCCATAGATGGCCAGCCTTCCTGAGTATAGCTTCCAAGTAGAGGCCAAGGCTCCATCCTTGAGCCCAGAGGCAAGCTCTGTGGTAGCAGGACAAGAAATTCAACTGGTAAGCCCTCAGGGAATTTAGTCCTCTTGCCTTGGCATGGCCCCTTGGCATCCAACTCTGAACAGCTTTGCAATTAGCATCTGTCTCAAGGTAGGATGGCAAGAGGAAGATGAAGGGTGGGCGTAAGGGGACAGTAAACATATGTCCTCTAAGAAAGCATGAGCCTTCTGCTTTTTAAGGGGTCAGGAATGCCAGGCTGTAGCGCTGGGAAATGGGGCTCACTATCCCAACAGAGACCGGCCCTGGGTTATTTCCTTCACAATTAACTCAGGCCTTAGCTTATTTCTCCAGTTGATTCCAGTTTCTGAGATTCTGCTGACCAGATATGACTGCCTGCACAGGGCAAAGAAGAAAGCCAAGAAGGTGGCTTTCATGCCATGGATGTGTCGTCAGATGGCTGTCTCACAACACAGCTGATGCCGTCTGGGCTGTTCAGCTTGTTTCTTGCCTGAATGCAATTGACAAGTGGAGAAAGAAAAGCATTCAGCAAAATACTCAGGAAACTTGCTGATTTTATGATGATTCACAACCAGCCATGCCAAGGCCACTTTTCTTCTGATAATCTACTCATGTTAAAGTTTTTGGGGCCATATTAATAGCCTGAAAAAAAAAAAAACCTAATGACTGGCCTTCCACACCAAGCCAAAGTGTTTGCTCCTCATATCACCCAAAGCTTATCATCTTAGAGCCTGTGATTTATGAAAATGAAACAAGTGATGAAGTCAAAACAAGAATAGGAACAGAAGACAGAATAAATTCTGGCCCGCCTTTTTTTTTTTCCATCCCAGTACCCTTAAAGACTTTCTGAGCAGCTGCTGCTGTTCAGGCTGATGTCCAGAGTGCCATTTCATCAAGAAGTAGAAAAGAAAATGTTTGGCATCTCTTTCGATAGCATCTTACCCACACCCTTCTCAGTGTGCCTACCTGGTATATCCCAGCAGCCACTAGTGGTCTCCGCTCACTGCTTCTGGCATGCTTCACTGAAGATGGTTAGAGAGTATAGAGAGAATGATAGGGAGAAGCAAATCAAAGAACGCAGATGAAGGAAGCAGGGCCAACCATGAAAGGTGGTCTGGCCACTTTGCTAAGGATTCCATGAGTTGGACAACTTGGGCTGAAAAAGAAGGGTAGCCAGGGGGCACAGTTAAAGAAGAACTAAGAAGGAAAATTCAGCTAGAGACAGGCCACGCCATGCCGGGAGGGTGAGTTATTGCAGTCTTGCTCTCATTTTCGCTTTCTACCCATCATTCCACCAGCTCTTTGCTTGGTTTACTAGTCACTAATAGTCTCCTCCCTAGGGGATGGAGAGGAGAGAAAGGTAACTGGTCACTCTTCTTGCTGCTATCCAACTTAAGGATATTTTAGCCTTTTGTTTAAAAAAATTTTTGTTAAAGCTAACACCCTTCCCCACAAAAGCCATCTATCTTTGGGGAGGCCTGAAGTCTCTCTTAAAGCTACCTAGCTTTATTTTATCTCATTGATCTACACAAAAGCCAGTTCTCTAGGAAAGGAATAGGACTGCAGAGGGTTTGGCAAGACAGAGTTCTAGAGGACTGTATTAAGACGTATCTCTCAACTGGCTTTGACAATACCTCCTGCCTTCTGTGTGGGTCAGGCACTTATGTGTCTGATGCTCTACCTCTTTCTGTGGTTTGAATCTCAAAACCACTTCTGATCCCTCTTTCTTTATAGAGTGCAGTCATTCAACTTATGGGCACACTGTGATCTTACAGAAGGAGGGAACTGTGTCCTTCATTCATTCATTTGGAGAACATTCCTAAGGAGTAATTGTCTGCCAAGTTCTCAGAGGTTCTGCAGAGCAGGGTGAATAAGACCACGAAGGTCCTTCTTTCAGCAAAGGCAGATTCTCCAAGCTGCTAGACCTGCCGCCAATACAGCAGGATGGTTCTTCCCACCCTCCCCAGCAGAAAGCACTAGGTGCATAAAAAATGGTGTGTCATTAAGGAAGAAGGCCGCCCCCCCCCACACACACATTGCTACCGTCTCTTTAGTCAGCACAACCTTGCTGCTTATGTTCCTGACCTTCCTTCAGTTCCATGAGGATGAAAATAGGAATTAGCAGTTAAGGCCCTGGGCCTGCTGCACATGAGATAAAAGCAGTGGTGTCTGCTAGCAGTGGTCTGATACAACAAGCAGAGACGGCTGGAAGCCTCTAGCTACCCAGTTCTCAGATACTACACAACTGCCAAATCTGTAATCTCACCTGCTGCCTGGCAATACAAAGCTGGCAGTTACTCTAAAGGGGCTTTTTCCAACCACTCACTGCTAAGAGCCCTGCATCCTTGACACAGACAGTTAAGAACTGAGACACAGAGGACCAGGGGGCAGGGGAGGGGTGAGGAAATGCAAAGTGGCTTCAGGGACCTAGGACATGGGGCAGATCTTATGATGGGAGGGAAGCTGGAAGAAGGTGGTCAGGTCCTCCTGATGCCTTGTCTTAGGAATGTGCTTGGAGAACAGTGGCATCATTTTCATACTCCACGTCTTTTTTCCTTCTCTCTGTCTTTTCTACTCATTCCCTAGAGTGAAGATTTAGTATCTAAGGCCCAGTGACACTTACAATGAAGAGTAAAGTCTCTCTTGGTACTTTCTAGCTAGTATAGGGAATGTTCCAAGGGATAATCAAGGCCAGTGCCTGTCAGACAGGCCTCAACACAACAGACTAGAGAGTCTCTGCCTTGCACAGACTCGCAACTCACTCTCCTCTCCCATACCATCTCCCCAGACTGAGATGCCTCCTCCCTGCCTCTGTGCTGCCTATACCCTAGGGACCCAGTGAAGCAAGAAAGAAACTTCTTTGAGACTCGGTTAAAGGCATCATTTTGACACTCTTGGTCTCCATTTTGACATCCAAGCATAAGGAAGTGTGGTCCCCACCAAACAGGACCAAAGTTCCTGAATGTATGGGAGAGAGAGGGACACGCTCTTCACACAGGCACTTGAAGGCCTTGAGCCGAGCTGCCTCTCCTCATCCTCTCCTATTCAGACCTTTCCCCATGACACACTGGAATCTGTATTATATCTATTTTTAAGAAAGTACAATGCTGGTTGTCTGGTTTTGTTGTTTTTACAGGTGTTATGAAATAATAAGAAAATGAAGTATTTAAAATGTTCCAATAAAGCGGGGTTTTGTTATCTAATATATTATCATGTACCTATTGTAAATATGAAACTCCTATTTTGCAAGCCAAGGACACAATTTGTACTGTTGTTATATATAAATAAAGATTACTGGATTAAAAAAAAAAAGATCTCCTTAAATCTTTAAATAAACATAGTGGTTTGGCCACATAGGTACAGAATAACTTTAAAGTCTACACAGGAAGCAGGGAGTCAGAAAGAGCAACCAAGTTGTTCTCACTGAATCTGAGAAAACTGTGGGGCCAGAGCTTATTAATATCTCGCCACCTTCATCACACACTTGCACACACTTTCTGCTCCAGTCATACCAGTGGGTGAACACTGCCCTCTAGCCCCAAGACCTCAGAATACAGCTTGCCTCTGGGGAGGCTGGGCAGGCTCCTTTCCAGAGTGAGTTCTTAGACTGGTTCCCGCCCCTCTCCCCAGGACCAGCCCTTCCAGAAACAACACTCACCCATGGATTAAGTGTGAGGGTGAAATGGGAATGAGAGACTCCTGGCCCTTGTTCCTACTGCTCAGGATGACTCTGAAGGAGACTGTCAGCTAGGCATTGAGATAGGTGGTGGTGTTCACATTTGCTTCAGAAATTAAAAGTGAATGAAGTGGAAGATGCCAGATGGTGAATACTTTTAGATCCAGCCCAGGGGAGGAATGTGGAGACAGCCCCTGATTGGGGTTTGGGATCTGAGACACAGGAGAACTTCCACTGTTCTGTAATGAGGCTGAAGAGAAGAAAATCTTCAAACTCCCTCTAAACTGAGGGTGATATGCCCCTCCCTCTCCCCTTATTTTCCTGTTT